ATCAAATGAGCATCTCATAAAATAATCACAGGGTATCACATAGAGAACCCATTCAAATGACTTACACTTTCACTGGTTCTCTGGAAAGAGAAAACAAAACAGTATTACACAGGCATCAGTATAAATGAGTAATCATTATGGTATAATTTAAACTGTACAATCACATGTACAATCGGTAACACAATTTGCTGAATGTATGGAGGTGTGTAACACATACATTCGTGCAGTGACGAATTACAGGAGTCACACAGATGGCTGTAATCGATGACTGTTCAGTGTTTCTTCAACCGTTCCTCACACCCATTTCATGCGATACGAGACAACGTCTAGTCGGCTGATTGACGCTAGAACAACACAAGGAAAACACGATAACAAAAGGGAAATACTGTATACATACTCACTTAAAGACTGGCCTTGTCACTCAAACCATGCATCCATACAATGTTGACCTTTTGTAGATGCTTCGATGAATTCTCCAGCAATCTACGCATGTGGTTATCATGCAAGTAACTATAAGATACACCGGGTGGCAGGTGTAAACACTCCGGCTCCGACCGCACGTGGTACATGAGAGTAATAATCACACAGCTGGAAGGTGTAGGAGCTTCAGCACTTGGATCGCATGTGGTTACATGCGAGATACGAGGAATACACTGGGTGCACGTGGTGTGAAACCAGGTGGCAGGTGCGACGTATCATATGTATCATATCATACTGGGTGGCAACACACAGGTGTAACTCATGAGTGGGGGGGAATGGTGTTTCGGTGGCAAACACTCAAGTCTACAAATATGTCGAAAATACAGCTATCTCACTCGGAGAAATTTACAGCACACTGTAAAATCAATGCTTATCCACTCTAGATTAAAATGCATGTTGACTGATAAAGGAGATAAACATGGATCTTAACACTGCAGTCTAGTTGCATCTGCAGTGATTACGTGGTGAGCACAGATCTTCCTCATTTGTTACACTCAATTATCAGATCAAATCCCCTACTCTGGTGTTGGATTCTGGGCGATAGGTGACCCTTTGTAGATAAAGAGGTTTACTATAAATGTCGCGTTAGATGGATATTTGAGCTGCTGGTCGATAGCTGCAAATATCACCATCTTCTCTGGGTGGCGAGTGCTTTCAGAATGCCGGGAACAGCATGGGACCCCTGGCACCAGGCTGCTCCCTCTCAATACTTCCTTGTTCTTCAAAATGAGCCAATCCGGTACAAGGCACGGAGGCATACACCAATCGGAGCTCTGGCTCAGGGTGGTGTGATGCCATGACACCACAGGACAGGTCTTGTTGTTTACGTGACAGTAGGAAGGGTCTTAACCCTCTTGACCACAAGATGGCCAGAATACTTTCAAACTCTAAAACCTGGATATTTCATCCCCTGGATTTCTAGCTGTACTTCATGTTACACCTTGCTGTAATTGCTGACTGGAGGTACACACGTTGGCCAGCGTGGTACCACTGGACTCCCGGGGACAAGAACTGTCACAGGATAGCCAACAAGGAAGGGACAAGTTTCCTAATAAGGAAAATCTATTTAGTGCATGGAACTCTGGTGCACGTTGAGGACTTACAAATGGCGCTATGCACTCTCTCGCCCATTTAAGATAGCTAGTAAAACTAACTTCTCACAGTGGCTCCCTTCCCCTCCCGGGTTCGTTTCTGGGTGGCCCTTGGTGTGTACCTCCTGCGAGATCCAGTTTACGCCTCTGTGATGGATCCGACTTTGTTTGAATTTGGTTCTTCTTCCCCTTATTGGGTGCATTATGAAGTTCTGGAGTCTTCCTGGCTAGCAGATTGCCCCTTCTTCTCTCTTGGGGCTTGGCCTGGCCTTTTTCGTACCTGCACACTCGCAGTGGTGAGAGGTTTCTTCGGATCTGCAGGTTTCCTTAGGGGGCTCGCTTGAGTTTCTCAGTGAGTGCCTCTTCACCCCTGTGCTTCCTCATGATGTGTGTCTGGTGCAGTTGAATGCGCAGATTCCCATTCTTTTGGCTGCTTTGAGAGTTGATACTCTTTGGATTCACTGTCTTTTGGCCTCGGTCTTGCTTTTTTTTGGTCTTCTGGAGCTGTCTTCAGGTTGGCTTTCAGAGGATGTGAGGGCGTTGGGTGAGGAGCCTTTGGCTGGGGTTCAGGTGCTGTTGGCTGCTGCTGCGTTGTCGGCCTTGCTGAAGTTGTTTGCTTCTCAGGGAGAAGCAAAGAAGGTTGTTTCTACATTTTTCACCTCTCGTCACGCGTGTCGGCATTCTGTGCTTGCTCTGTCTTTGGATTCAGCTTGGGTCCTGGCTCTTCAATCTTCTTCGGTGTTTTGTACCCTGCTTTTCTTGGAGGACAGTGTAGCCCAGTTCCCTGTTGGCGGCTTTGGGCAGTTGCCATCCTATTTCAGACTTTGATGGGGCGCGCCCCATCAACGGCACGTTGCCTCGTTGATGGGGCGATGGGTGGAGGCTGGCTCTTTTTGCCTGCACCTGGTCCCAATATTCAGGGGCTTTTTGGGCTATTTCTTCTGGCCTTCGGTGGCGTTAGGTAGCCTCTTCCATGTCCATCTGTCGGGTCATCTCGGAGTGGGTTTGCTTGGGCATAGTCAAAAACGACCTCGTCTCACAAGTGGGTTTTCTGCTTCTTTCCAGGTCCGAAACAGACTGTGTAGATCTTTGGTATATTCTAGACTTATCTCATCTGAACCGTTTAATTCCTTTCCCCTCCTTTCTGATGGCCACGTTGTCCCAGGTCTGGCTCATTCTCGGTCTGGGTGCTTGGATGATTTCTCTGAATCTCAAGGATGCATATTGGCACACCCCTATCCATCTGGAGGTTCTGGGATTGGTTAGGTTTTGTGGTAGGGTGACAAGCTTAACGCTTTCGTTGTCTTCTGTTCTGATTGAATCTGGCACCTCGCGTTTTCATGAGCTTGAATTGGGTCGTGGTGGCCCATCTGTTTCTGCTAGGTCTTCGGGTTTTGGCCTACCTGGACGACTGGTTGGTGTGGGCTCCCAGTCAGTATGCTTGTCTGCTAGCCAGGGAACTGGTTCTTTCACAGCTTGCCGGCTTCGGGTTCCTGGTGAACTGGCAGAAGTCCCAGTTGGTTCCGTCCCAGGTTTAGGCATGGCTGGGCCTCGTGTGGGATTCTTGGACTGCGTCCGTCTCTCTCCCTCCAGTGGGCTTGCTCCGGTTGTAGCCCTGCCTTTGGCTGTTTTTCAGGTGGACTCTGGTCACTCGGCGGTTGCTTGAGCAGCTATGTGGGACCCTGAACTTTGCTCTGCTGGTTTATCTGCAATGCAGGGTTTGGCTTCGGAGACTGTTTTGGTATCTTCAGGGCGGCCTCTTTCGCTGCTCTTGCAATTGCCGGGTTCGTTCCATGGTGTCCCTGGGCCGGTTGCTGTGTCACCGGCTTCCTCTTCAGTTTTTTTGGGGATCGGTGCCATGGCGCCTTCCTCTTCCCTCTCTCGATGTGTTCACGAACACCTCGTCTCTTGGTTGGGAATTTGTGACCAGCGCTCACCAGTCCGGTCAGGGGCATTAGGGCCCGTCCTTCCTTCGAGCTGACAGCATGTTGCGGGAGATGTGCAACTGTGTGGCAGGTTCTGCGGTGGATTCGGCTTCATCAAGGCTTGATGATCCAGCTCCATTTGAACTGCTTCCTTCGTGGTTCATTGTCTCAACTGGGGAGGGAAGGGGGGGAGGGTTTCTCATCGGTCTGTGGCTTTTTGGGGCTGGTCGCTTCGAATGGCTCTTCTGCCAAGTTCTTGGGGCTTAGCTCTCCACGCCATTCACATTTGGGGAGTGTCCACCATCTTGGTGGACGGCCTGTTCAGCTTTTTTCCTCATTCCACTGAGTGGACGGTCGATACCATTTCCTTCATTTGGCTTTGTCGGACATGTGGGTGCCCAGAGGTGGACCTCTTTGTATCTGCGTGGTCTTGGCGTCTCCCCTTGTACGTAGTGTTGTTTTCCGACATCGAGACTCTTGCAGTAGACGTTTTTCTGCTGGTCTGGTTTGTCTTCTCTCTGTGTAGTTAGCTTCAGGGAGCCGACGGGGCTGCCCTCAGAAAACCAACATTGAATGTAATGAAATGGCAGTTTCTGGGTGAGCCCCGAAGGCTCCCTAACACCCTCCCTCCCTTTGGTTGGTGGCTTTCATCGTTCAAGAACTGGGATGGTGGGCTGCTGGTTCGCCCAGGGTAGCTTCCCTTCCCCAAGAGGTGGGGGGGGGTTAGCGCTAATGAGGAGGGAGGTAGTTGGATGATGTGTTACTTGTTTGTTTTCTTTTTGGAAGAGATATTTTGCTCTTTTGAGGATGTAGCATGTATAATGTAATCAGACAGTGGTCTGATTCGATTCCCCTATCTTTCTGGATCCTTTCCCAGTCAATGGCAATTATGACATGTTTTAAATATAAAGTGCTCAATAGACCATTGCTCCCTGCACCTCTCTGAGGGAGCCAGGTTCTGGTTCATGGTCCCCCATTAGGCTAAAAGACTCTGTGACTGATGACCCTGACTAAAATAGCACTATATCAGTTCGGATAGCTTCAGAGAGCCTCCTGGGCTCACCCAGAAACTGGCGTTTCATTATATTCAACGTGGGTTGTTTGTCAGGGTTGCTAGTGTTGTCCATGCAGTTACTTGTTTTATTATGTTACTATCTGATGGTCTTCCCTCGGGATTACTGTGGCAGTCTAGTACCTCTAGACTCCCTTTGCCTCTGTTGAGGGGGCCCACTTTGAATCTTGGATTGTGATGATGTACCCAAGATTTGGAGATTCTCAGCATTTCATTATGTTCAGTGCTAGATTTATCCACTACTCTCAGGACTTGAGGCTTCATACAGTATTATTTTGCAGCTTATAATTGACAAGGAAACCATATCTGCCCAGTACCATTAATGCCTGGTCCCTTTTTGCTGGCACATGCAAGCACTGAGTGCCTATATTGGGCAATCATCAATAATTATTATAATTGTTTTGTTTTATTCGGGCAAGTTTAACTTTTCAGCTTTCGATTGGTTGAAAGTATTCCTGAGAATCTGACCTACAGCCCAGGCAGCATCCAGTATCCTAGTATCTATAGTGCTTGGACATCCCTCATTGATGATGCAGAAGAGTCCATTGACATAGCTGCATTTTATTGGACATTACTTAATGATGATGTTACCAAGAAACCAATGGCTTCAGCCTGGCAAGGAGAGGATATTCTTAGACGTCTTAATGATACAGGTGAGTATAACTGTAAATAGGTATCACTAACTGGGATACAGTATTGTTTAGTAATTTTCTGGGGGGAGCCCCTACGGCTCCCAGGAGCTTACTAGGCTGATATGCTAATGTCAGACTTTGGCATCAGTCATGTGTATGGAGTTCTTATGGGCCTACCGGGGGCCACGAGCCAGAACCTGGCCCCCTCTAGAGAGGCAAGGGGAGCAATGGCCTATAGAAACCCCCGTGTAATTGGAAGCATTTTATGTCTGCCATTGACTGGATTAGGCACCCAGAAAGGTAGGTGTCCCAAAACAAACCCCTATTCTGGTGAAAATTGCAACAAAAAGCCGAACAAGTGGATAGAACTCTCCAAACAAAAACGAGCAAATAGTATGACGTCATTCGTCATCGCGCCGCTGTCTGCGCAGCACCCCCCTCCCCAGGAGGGGGAAGGGGGAGCCCCAGATCTACCGCGCCGGTGATTCACACCCCAGTTCTTGAGGCTGATGCTATCGGGTCGGTTGTGTGCTCTGGCTCCGGTCTTTTTACGGCGCTGTGCCTTGTGTGTGGCTGCTGTTCTCCAGGGGTGCGAGAGCCAGGAGTTATTTCTCAGTACTTGGGCTGCATGCGCCTAGGGTTACCTTCCCTAGGTGCCTTGTAAGTACTGCCCTTGGAGCTTGGGGTTACCTTCCACAAGTTCCTCGGGGTCTGCCTCTGTGTGTCCGTTTTACTGCTCAGTTTCTCGGCCGCTCTTTGGGTACTTGGGGGGTTTTGTCTTCCCTAGTTTACCTTAGGGTAAGAGGCAGTTTTTGCACTGGTAGGGGCCGCAGGGTGCTGTGCAGCTAGTTGTCACCTATCACAGCGGCCGGTTCTGTTCCTTGGGGTACGTTGTCCTCTTGCAGGGTTTTGTTTTTGCCTTGCTGGGGGATTCTGCCCTAATTGCCACTGGTGTTTGGCCTCACTCTGATACTTGGTGGTGCCCCCTGCTTGGTCCTTGTGAGTGTACACGTCCCTAGGGTTCAGCTTTAGACAGTTTGTTTGGTAGTTTTGGGCACCGGTTAGCAGTACCCTGCCTGGGTTTATCTGAGCGCGAGTCCTCGTCAAGTAAACGCTCAGGACCCTGGGAATCCCGTAGGGGATGCGTGGGTCCGATGGATGTGACCCCGGGGTGCGTGTTTTGGGGTGAACAACCCTCAAACTCACTTCGTGCGAGTTTGAGGGTTGTTCGGTCCCCTTGTGTCAGGGCGACCCTCACTGTTTTTGCCTCCGTCATGCAGCCTGTTGGGTCGGTGACACTTTCGACCCTGAGTCCTGTGAGTATTGTTGCTTGCTGGTGACTCAATTTACCCAGTCTATGGATGATGATCTTCGGGTACAGGCTGCACAGGCGTTGCATTCTACCTTGAGGTTACCTTGAGGTGCTTCCGGGGCTTAGTGTCCCCGCGGCCCGGTCGTCGACCAGGTCTCCTGGTTGCTGGACTGATCAACCAGGCTGTTAGATGCGGCTGCTCGCAGCCTGACGTATGAGTCACAGCCTGGTTGATCAGGTATCCTTTGGAGGTGCTTATCCAAAGGCTTATTCTAGGTTTCGGTTGTTGCAACGCGCTAGGTTGGTTGTTCACCTGGATGCCCCGCGGCTGCCCCGTTTTGCTTATAGGGACCCGGACTTTGGGGTGGGGGTCGCTTCGACCCTGGTTCAGTCCGCACCTCCTGGCCCTTCCCCTCCTGTTGTGCGTTCTGGTCCCCTACCCTGCTTCCGGCCCCAAAACGTCTGAGGGCTTCGGAGTCGGGGCAGGGGGTTAGTTGGTCTTGAGACTCGGGCAGCCTCGGGAAATGCCCGTTCCGGTGTGGCGACGGAGGCATTCGAGTCTCCTCCCTAGGCCGAAGCCTCTCGGTCTGACCAGTGGGCCTCCTTCTATCCAGCTTCTACGGCTGCGCCGGCCTTGTCTAGTGGGGTCGGTGCTTGGGGGGAGGACTCGGCCCCGGGTCCTGCTGGAGAGGACCCTAGGGCTAGGGAGGGGCTGACTTGTGGGCCTTGGGCCCCTCTGGACCCCGCCTGGGTTTTTGTACCCTCTGAGCGGGGCTCACTGTTGCAAGGAGTGGGGTTTTCTTTTCCCCCCTCTGCGTACGAGTTGGATTTGGTGTCTGCCCCTCCCCTGGTTCGGTTCCGTGTTCCCCCGGGCACTTCGGTTCCGTCTTTCCGGGGGTTTTCAGCTTATCGCATCCAACCTGCTGCAGTGCGGGTAGCCCTTGCGGCGAACCACCTGCGTGACCCTGATTATGCCTCGGCAGTGGATCCCTCGACTTTCAGGTTTGGGACTTCGTTCCCTTTCTGGCTCCGTTACGAGGTTCCGGAGTCGTCCTGGCTGGTGGATTGTCCTGTCTTTGCCTTGGAGGCTTAGCACCCCTTCTGCCGTTCCCACACACTTGAGTGGCGGGAGGCTTCGACAGTGCTTCAGGTTTTCCTGAGGGGCGACCTTGAGCACCTCAATGAGTGCATGTTTGCTCATGCCCTTTCCCGGGATGATGGTGTCGTTCAGCTCCATGTGCAGGTTCCCCCTCCTTTTGGCGGCACTGGTGGTGGAAGAATTGCGCGCTCGGGGCTTTTTGGTTGCTGCCTTGCACTTCTTTTCCCTCCTGGAGCTGTCTTCTGACTGGCTTACGGAGGATGTGGGGGTGCTTGGGGCTGTTCCAGGGTCTGGCGCTTTGTCCTCAGTGGCTCACTCATCGGCTGCCATGCTGAACTTTTCGGGCCGATCTTGCGGGATGCGGTGGCTCTGTTTTATGCCTCCCGGCTCGTGTGTCGGCAGGCGGTGCTTGCCTCTTCTGTGGAATCCGCTTGGGCCTTGGCTCTTAGGCTTTCGTTCCCTTTTTGCCCCCTCTTGTTTGAGGCTTCAGCTGTTGCGCAGTTTATTCAGGCTGCTTCGGCTTCTTGCCGTCCTATGTCGGACTTGCTGGTTCTCCGGGGGTCCATGATGGGCCTTCCCGGAAGGGTCGTGCCAAGGCTCGGGGTTCCTCTTGTCGTGGTAGGCCACTGGTGTCAGGTTCGGGTTCGGCGCCTCCTTCGGACCCGCCTTCGTCTGGTTGGTGCGGTGTTTGCTCTGTGCGAGGTTCGGGGTCTCGTAAGGGGCGCTGGCCCTTTTGCGGTTCACCCCATTGATGGGGCGATGGGAGGAGGCTTGTGCTGTTCGCTCACCCCTGGTCCCACAAATCGGGTCGTTTCGCACGGCCTCCGGTGGGGTTGGATGGCCCCTCCCCCTGTGGGGGTTTGGGGCTGGCAGGGCAGGCTTCTTCCCCTGCGTTCTGTCAGGTCATCTTGGAGTTGGTTTGCTTGGGCGTGGTCGAAACGACGACGTCCCTCAGATGTGTTTCCCATCTGTTTCCAGTCGCGAAACAAGACTGCGCGGATCTGCAGTTCATTCTGGACTTGTCCCGTCTGAACCCCTGGGTTCATTGCCCCTCCTTTCGGATGACCACGCTGTCCCAGGTTCGGCTCCTGTTGGAGCCGGGTGCTTGGATGATGTCCCTCGACCTCCAGGACGCTTATTGGCACGTCCCGATTCATCCGGGGTTCAGGGACTGGCTCTGTTTTGTTGTGGGGCTTTGTGCTTACCACTTTCGTTGTCTTCTGTTCGGCTTGAACCTGGCACCTCGCGTTTTCATGTGCCTCATGCAGGTCGTGGTGATCCGTCTGCGTCTGTTAGGTGTTCAGTTGTTGGCCTACCTCGACGACTGGCTGGTTTGGGCTCCCAGTCAGTCTGTTTGTCTGCTAGCCAGGGACCTGGTTCTTTCTCAGCTCGCTGGGCTCGGGTTCTTTGTGAACTGGAGGAAGTCCCATCTGGTTCCCTCCCAGGTTCGGACCTGGCTGGGCCTTGTGTGGGACTCTCGGACCGATTCCTTGTTTCTTCCTCCGGAGTCTCTTCTGTGGCTGCGGTCCCGCTTGTGCCTGTTTCTGGGGGTCTCGCAGGTCTCCCGGCGGTTGCTCGAGGGTCTGTGCGGGAGCCTGAACTTCGCGATGCTGGTCTACCCACTGGGTCAGGTTTGGCTTCGTTGGCTGTTCTGGTTCCTTCGGGGACGTCCCTTCCGCCTCTGGAGGGAGCCGGTCGGCCGAGCGGACAGCACGCTGGACTTGTGATCCTGCGGTCCTGGGTTCGATCCCAGGCGCCGGCGAGAAACATTGGGCAAAGTTTCTTTCACCCTATGCCCCTGTTACCTAGCAGTAAAATAGGTACCTGGGTGTTAGTCAGCTGTCACGGGCTGCTTCCTGGGGGTGGAGGCCTGGTCGAGGACCGGGCCGCGGGGACACTAAAAAAAAAGCCCCGAAATCATCTCAAGATAACGTCTCTCGCGATCGCTGGGTTCGAACCCCGGGGGCTTTGCGTCGGTTGCTGCGTCGCCAGCTTTCTCTTTGGGTTTTTCAGGGTTCAGTGCCGTGGCGCCTACCCGAGCCCTCGCTCGATGTGTTCACAGACGCATCGTCTCTCGGCTGGGGCTTTGTGACCAGTGCTCACCAGGCCGGCCATGATCGATGGGGTCCGTCCTTCCATCGAGCCCACAGCACTGTGCGGGAGTTTGTGGTGGAGTGGTTTGCTCTTCGGAGGATTCGAGTCGCCCGCGGGTCAACGATCCGGCTCGATTCGAACTGCTCCCCGGTGGTTCGTTGTCTGAACCAGGGGGTTCGATGCGGTCCTTGGCTCTTTGGCGCTGGTCGCTTCAGGTAATTCGTCTGCCGAGTTTTCGGGGTTTGGCTCTCCTGGCAGTTCACGTGCGGGGTGTGTCCAACGTCTTGGCCGACGGCCTGTCTCGTTTCGTTCCCCTCTCCACGGAATGGACGGTCGACACCGACTCCTTCCGTTGGCTTTGCCAGACATTCGGACATTCCGAGGTGGACCTTTTCACATCGGCGTGGTCGTGGCGCCTTCCCCTGTATGTGGCGCCTTTTCCCGACTGCGTGGCCATCGGGGTCGACGCCTTTCGGCAGGACTGGTCACGGTAGGGGTTCCTGTACCTCTTTTTTC